CAGGGAATCAATGTTGTCAGAGAAATGGTGGTGGGGGGGGAAGCATTAATAAATTTGTCTGGTAGACTAGGATAGAAGGCATTGCTGCAGTGGGTTGATCAACTAAATAACATACTTATTAAAAACAATCTGTAGGAACGCACTATCATTCCTGTTCCTATTTATCTTCTGGTCAACTCAATTGAGATTGTGCATTAAAGCACAGGCAGCATTATTACATTTGCTTTATTAAATTCTATAAACAGCACTGTAAAGTCACAGTCAAGATATTTATAAGATAATGGCATACTGTGAAGGCAGCTCCTTAACTTGCCTTAACACTAATGTTTGCAGACTATAACATTTCTTTAAAAATTGTCAGTTTTCATAATAGCAAACGGTTCACAAACACATCTTTCTGTTTTCTCAATTTTTATTCTATGCTTATCCAAACCTGGGAAAAGGGGAAAAATGCAAGTTTCCTTCTGGGGATGCAGAAAAGTTATAAGAGAATTATACGATCATGGCACTTATTAGGACATCTGTAATGGAATAATTTTAAATAAAGAGTAGGCTGGCTGCAAGGGCTATTCTTAGTGTTGTTGGTATTACAAGTACATCTCATTACATCAAATTAGTATTCAAAAACTCTGTCAAACATAACTTAAAACCTAAAATATACCAGTTGTCATAGGTAACAGATACCTTATGCCTGCTTGTAGGCATCTATTAGTTTCAATGGGTTATACACAGAGAATCAAGTACTGTTACTTTGTGACTGGTTATCCTTAACATACATAGAGGATAATTTTACATATGATAAAGTATCAAATACTTCTTTGATTGATAGGCAAGGTTCAAACACAGGAATGGGAGCCAGGATTCCCTGAATTCTAATCCCATCCCTAGCATTTATCCCTTCAGCATCCTTAGGCAAATCACTTTGGTCATATACCATAAAGGACTTGGGCTTCTGAAGTACAATTTTGATGGAATTTAGGTGCCAAAGTCAAACTAAGCAACTCACAAAAGTCTCAACCCTCTACCTAGACACATAGGCACCTAAAAATATTTACTAAGGTACATAGTTTCTAGGATTCACAAACCAGGCATTCCCAGGTGTAAGTCTCCTGAGGGTCCCAAATCACCAGGTATGATCAGAACACACCTACTGCACATTTGACAGCCATGACTATTTTCATTCAATAAAACGAATGGCAACCTCTTACATATCATGTTACAGTTAAAAAAAAAAAAACAACCCAACAATCAAGAAACAGAAGACCCGTGTACAAGCCCTCTGAAGGGCTTGAGGAACTTGAGAGACATATCTTGCATCCCATAAAAATGCTCCACTCTCCACTCTAAACTGAAGCTTAGCTACTGTAAACAAAAAAAAGAATGCAAGATTCACTGGGCCAGGGAGAAAGCAAGCAAGAGAGCACAATACTCTAAAACCTTGTGATGAACCCTGGGAAACAGGAGACCCCAATCTACCCTATTCACTGTTAACAGAACTTAGATAACCAGCTCAGGTTTGCAAATTCCACTCTAGGAGTCAGGCACCTTCACTGATGTGATGACACTGACTGTCATCATGCTGAAGTCCTTCTGTGAATTTGGGCCTCAGTTTCTCATCTATGAAATCCACATTGTAATACTTAACTCTATCCTTCAGGAATCTATTCCGTGTTTGTAAAGGGGGTGGAAGATGACAAAAATCTATCCAGCATAACAGTTAAGTAATCCCCTTCTAAGGAATATTCTCAAATTTAGCAAGTATAAAAAGGTTGTGTTAGCATAAAGAACCAAGTAATGCTTCACTGGCACTTTTTCCTCCATACACAGTGGGTACAACACTAAGAAGGTATGAAGTATGAGCAATAAAAACTGGTATGCACTAAGTTGGTTTTAAAATACTGTCAGTTCAATGGAATTTGAGTAAATACAAGGACTAAAGAAAGCCTCCTTTAAACAAAACAAAGAAGGTGGGGGTGACAGAGGGAAGAAGTGAGCTCAAAAATAGATGAATGGCAAAATAGTAGTTATTTTTTAAATAAGAAAAGGGGGACTGATTCCTTTAAGCATAGCAAGTGAAACAGCAAGGATAAATTTTGCCCTTACTCTCAGCTATACAACTGTACTGACTGGTCCAAAGACCTTTTCCTCTTCTCTAAATTACCTCTGAAGAAGGATGGCCTGCGTCTCCTTTAGCCATCTATGCAGAGTGGAAGGGTGTTCAGACTTCTAAAGTGAGGTAATACATCTCTGTGTCAGTGGAAGGGCAACACGTACAAATCAGTGTGTATGTTTATTCATAGTGACCTACACAAAGACTTGTATGGAGGCAAATGCTTAAAGCACTGGTTTTCAACATTTTTAGACTCCAAAACTTCTCAAAATTTTGCAGTACCTCATTATAAAAAGACTAACATAAATATATTATGACTATTATAATAGAAACATACTAATTGTATTGTTAATTATTAATTAGTTATAATTATAAGGATCTAATCAATTAATACGATACTTATCCCAATGTCACTACCACTGCAGCCAGGTGGATTTGGGCCACGTGCCTCCTGTAAAGCCAGATGGGCAAGCATGTGGCAGGGGTGTGCGCTCCTGCCAAAGTCATTCCTGATCCAATCCTACGTAGTGTCTCCCAGAAACAGAGGCACACACCTTTGCTTTCAGGATGCACATTGGAGCCAAACTGAGAAGCAGTTACAGCAGAAAGGCATGCAGCCCAAATTACATTATGCAGGAAGGCATGCTGCTTCTGTTGCAGCTCTTCTTAGTCCAGCTCCAATGCAGCTCCTGAACGTGTAGACACTTGGGGCAGCTCTATCTGGTGAGAGCAGTATTTACCTCCAAGCTGTGCCACTGCCACAGTATGAACTTGCCCCATGCACCTCCATTTTCAAAGTTGAACCATGAACAGCTGCAGCAGAAACAGCACACTTGCATGCATAATGTAATGCAAGCATCACATCTTTATGCTGCAGCTGCTTCCCAGTCTGGCTCCAACATGCCTGCAGGGAAGGCCTTGTGAGGAAAGGCTGAGGGACCTGGACCTTTTGAGCT